ATCAGTAACTCAGACTGTACGGTGTCGAATGGTAGGATGTTTAGTGAATTAATAATTTGAAAAGCTTTGGAAGGAAGAGATCGTGATATTTTTTTTTAGGGACAGGAACTTCGCAAGACCCGAGCTCGAGAAAGTCGGTTTATCAGATAGGATTCATTCCGACCATCTCCAGACTACATCCCAGAAGCATAAACGTATGAGACACGTGCTCGATAGAAGGCCAGTATCGTAAAACCCACCATATACATATACGTATATAACTACGATGTACTTGGTTGTGTAATTTATGAGTTCCACTTTTTTTTATGAAAAAAAAAATGGTTTGATATAAGTTTAATTGATTAGTTCAGATTTTACATAAACCACATGAAGACTTGATTGAAATGTGTGTGTGTGTGTGTACATCACAATAAAATTACTTGTAATTATTGAATTCGATAGAAAATTGTGCCAGGTTTATGCAAAAGTAACATTCAGTACTTCTGTTCGAAAAATACCCGGTTAAAATCTAAATCACCTTACAGGGTATCCTGACTGAAAATTTCAATGTCAGTCATTCCCTCCATATGAATGGCAGGACAATACATTGCAGTAGACGGCAACCGACTGGTTCCAGTGCATTGTCACTATGTCCTGTCATTTTATGTTATGCAGCTTATGCATTTTAAAATTCACGGCTAAATAACAGCCCGGGTTGGAGCACGGGTCTGGTCAAGTGGGATTTGTGGTGGACAAAGTGGCACTGGGGAAGGTTTTCTCCGAGTACTTCGGTTTCCCCTGCCAATCTTCATTCCACCAGTTGCTCCACAATCACCCTCACCTATCATCTTGGACTGGTACAATAGGCCAGAAGTGGCCGCAGTACAAGGGACTTAGTCCCACCCCCACTAGCAATAAAAAAATGAAAAAAAGGAAAGAAGAATGAAAGAATTGCTATTCAAGAGAAAGCTAGAGGGCTCCCTTCTTCAGTGCTAAGACCTTCCGTTATATTTGCAAGAGATTATTGCCCTCTCTAGGTTCGTGAACATATAGTTGCATTGTGGCTGAGATACAGAGTGCGATCTGTTTTCTGTGCGTTTATACTGAAATCGAATACTATAGTTTCGTTTCAGCTTATACAGGGTGTTTCACGACTTTAGGGCATAACTGCAGGAGGTGATTTCGTAGGTATTTGTGATCAAAAAAGTTCATATAAACATGTGTCCGATTTTGGACGGTTACGGAGTTATGACCGTTTTAATCTCAGAATAGAAGGTAACGATTACTGACAATAAACGGAACCTAATAATAAATGAGCATATTACATGATACATTTAAAGTATGAATGTAAAGTTAACTTCGTGAAATTACCTTTAATTTGAATTTATTGGTGCTTAAAGCTGACTTTGGAAAATGCTACCGCCGGTCGCAACACAGGATGCCGCTCGGTTGTCAACCGCGCCGGACATACCAACCCACCACGCCTTAGGTACCTCTCAAGTGTCGAGATAATGAGAACGCTCTGTCTATAGCTGGCTAAAAATAGCGACCCGCCAGGTAGGCGCGGTTCACACGAGGGCGTGTACGGGAATGAAAAAAACGGTCATAACTCCGTAACCGTCCAAAATCGGACACATGATTATATGAAATTTTTTGATCACAAAGACCTAGGAAATCACCTCCTGCAGTTATGACCTAAAGTCGTGAAGCACCCTGTATATACATCAAGCGGATAACAACAAAAAGGTATGTACATCGAATTTTACTATATATTTTAACACATTAATCTGCAGAATAAACAATAAAACTATTGGCTCGTGGATGGGTATAACTCATACGTATACTCTTTTGTGCTGCTGTTCACTTAGGTATCATTTTAATTCCTCTATTATGGTTTTACTCAAATATGTCTGGTAATTACTACATCTCTATAAATAAAAATGTAGGACTGTGCATGCACTTCTACTAGCTTCTACTACCTTTAATCTTCCTCTTATGTTACATCTCGCTATATAATTGCAGAAAAAAATCTCATTACAAAAATCCTTGTGGTTTCGAACCACGGACTTCTTCTTTACAAGCCCGTGCCTTACCTCTAGACCACCAGAATATCTATGTTACATATTTCTGCGATTTTCCTCATATTATAGGACTTGGTTTATAGCTGTAGAAAAATCGTATTTATTTATTCACTTTTCAATTTCTATTGACAAAAGGCACCGTGGTCTGGAACCCCATACCTTCTCAATACTACGCCATTGTCTCACCCATGTACCGCCAGGCCTATACAAATTTGTTAGCTTCACCTTCCTCATATAGTAGGACTTGCTTCCTACATGCAAAAAATTTCTTACATTCTTTTTCACAAAAATAGTCGTGTCTTCGAACTGCAAGTTTTCTAAACCATACACCACATATCCACATATCGTATCGCTTAGTTTCTACCTTTACAAAATTCCTCTTTACTTCTTGCTTCGTTTCAAAGTCATTTTACGACTGTCGGTTGGCCAGTCACTTTCTCTTAATTTAGAGCCCATTCAGACGCTCATGACAAGATTTTAGTCTTGAAGTAGCTTCACTGTTTGGCTTTTAATAGGAATCCTTTCTGATGACAAGATCTGTCTATCCCTTCTCATTTGTCACAGTCAATTACTTTCTATAAACTACATGTCACGACCTCTACAACTATACATATATATTGCACATGGCTTTATTGGAAATATATAAGCCCCCTATTAGTCCACAACAGATTCTGCGTTATTTTCGTTAGCTCACGCCAGACCAGTATTTTAGTCACCTCAACGTTCATAAGCTTCATCCCCACCAAATCCCTCCGTTAAGATCACGCACCTATTTAATCACTTGAGACCAAGCTAATTCATCGCGAGTAAGAAAGAAAATATGAAATGAAAACTGTAGTGCCATCTGTGGAGTAAAACCTGAAGGTAAGTCCAGTCTCCGAAGCGTTGTGATTTTGTGCTAAAACTCTAGCGGATAGAGGATTTCGCGTGGTAAGCGCAGCGAATCCCCAGGGCCGTTAATCTCTGTTTTCTAGACCGAAGCCGCTATTTCCTTGAAATAATTCCTCAGTCATCCTCACGAGGCCGAGGGGACCCTGTTTCAGATCCACTACTCAGAAAATCTGGTAGTGCCGGGAATCGAAGCGGGATCTCTGAATCTGTAGCTAAGAGCTCGGACCACTAGACCACAGAAACGCTCTACTTCTTTAGCTGATTTAATTTATATTACAATCCACTGCTACTTTTCTTAGAACGACGTTACTGTAAGAATATAAGTTTACATCACACGTTATACATAACGCATCTGTATTCATTTCCAGGTATCTTCGATTTTAAAAGTCAATACTGACGGCCACCATGAAAAACATCTTTCCTGACGACAGTAAAATATTTGTTTTATGGCAACCATGCCTCCCTTCCTATATACTGTACAGTGTGTCTATAAAAGCAGGTTACACTCTTGGGTGCAAAAAAACCTGATTTCGGATGTGAGCATCGAACAGGTTTATTTTAATGGAGTGGAGCAATTCAGAATTGCCTTCCTTTGCTCGTCAGTTGTTTTCAATATTTTCATATGGCGATAAATAAACAGTTAAACATGGAAAGCAAAATGTCAATAAAATCATAATATAGGAACCGTTACTATAAAAGTAACTTCACCTTAGGGTACTATTAAATTATAGAAATGATTAGCAAAGAAACACTGTTCAGCGAAGAGTTTAATATTTAATTTTAGTTTCATGGGAGGCTGGGGACTTGGTGAATTTGACTAAAGACATGGACCAATGGCAAGTTATTTTGAAGGGGTTAATGAGTCTTCTGTTTTCATATAAGGCGGTGAATTTATTGACCATTAAGGTGATTATAATTAACTTCTGAAGAATGTTTCTGCTGTATGGAGTTCCTTCCTCCTCCTCTCCTTGACCTTGCAGCCCTGGGTGGGCCTTAGACTTCTTAAAGAGAATCTTCCATTCGTCTCGTCCAGCGGCAAGCACCTTCCATCCCGTACGTCCCACTCCTGCAGTTTTTTCTTCAATTTGTTCCTCCCATCTTAGTTTGGGTCTTCCTCTGGGTCGTCTACCTCCTGGTTCCAGCATCAGCACTTTCTTTGCAGGGTAATTTTCACTCATACTCATCGCATGGCCAGCCCATCGCAGCCTGCATAATTTCACAAAATTAACTATGTCATTATCATGATAAAAGTAAAAAGCAAAGCTATCCTTGTAACAGGCCGTGAAAGCACATAGGGTTGTGAGACGTTGAGGGTCCCACACTATCTAAGCAATCGGCTCAAAGATGGCGGTAAAGTTGTCAGCCTTACGCGCCGGCCGCGCTTTACTCCCCCGGAAAATTACCTCGTATTTAATTAATTCCTGGTACTCATTTCTGTTAGAGGCTGAGTCGATCCCAGGGCCATAGTGCCGCTGGAAGGATTAGGTCAATTGAAAAAAATCCAATGACTTTTCGGGACTTGAACGCGCGACCTTCCGGCTTGTAGCATAGTGCCTCAACCAACTATGCTACCTCGTGCTCCCGTCATTATAATCATATAACTGATAAAGTTCAGAATTGTTTCTAATTCGTCACTCTCCCAGCAAATGCGAGTATGGGGTTGTTTAGATGGTCTTTTAAATTTTCAACCAAATTCAACCAAATCGGCATATTATTGAAGTTATTTAAAAATATCCAAGAATTTTTTAAAAAATCCAGAAAACGCATTGATTGGAATAGAGTAATGTCATTTACATTGATTTACAACAAGAAATTTCACCACGTGAAGAATCCTTATTCATAAAATAAAGGAGTTCTTCGATTTTTTTATTTCGGCGGTCCAAAGGACAATTACAAAGAAAGCAGGAGCAGAAGAAGGAAGCGAAACGTACACACACAAAAAAAGGCGAAGCAAGGTAACTTTTGCAAAATACAAACATCTGTTTCAATGTTACAGAACTGAGTAACTAACAAAATTTCTGTTACATGGGAAGTCGAGGACCTAGACAGATGACCTGACTGAAACTCAGGCATCGAGTCCATGTCAAATTTGATTAAAACTGTATCATTAACACCTCATCCAGCACTATTGACCATCTACAGAATGATGATGAAAATGTTATTGTGAAGCGCGTATTAGTGAGGGAGACGCCTATGTATGTAGCGCTTGACTCGATGAAGAAGAAAACTTTTGCATGGCCGTGTTGGAACAGTAAGGACGTCCGCACACCAACTGCGTCAAGACAAGCATTAAGACATGAGACAAAAGACTCAGTCTTGCTTCATTCGTGATTCGTCAGCATGAAGCTGACGTCAGCATCATAACTCAGACCGGTGTGCGGCAGTTTTCATTCGTTTCGACTGTGCTCCTTTCTTTGCGTCAAGTCGCAGACATCGTGTCTTGACTGTTACATGTCTTGACGCATGCCGGTTTGCGGCCTACCTAAAGCATCAGGCGAGCTGGCTGACAAATATTTTTTTGTCTTCATAACAGAGTCCGTTTCGGGTGAGGGAGGCGTCGGTTTGAGCATAGTGCCTCTGGCAGCACTGTTAACTGGTGCGGTGTTCACACTGGGGATCGCAGTCCTACTAGTCGCCGTGCTGGCGGTGAGAAGACGCAGAGACCCTCACCATCACCACCTTCATCATGGTGCTTCCCACCAGATGGAGCTCGAGGCAGTGAAGCAACAGAAGGTTCCTCCTACCGGAGGGTTGCAGCCAGCGTCTAGACAGAACTCTCTGCTGGAGATCAACCATGGCGAGCATCGCTACGTCGTATCATACACACTCAAGTCAGCCGCTGATTGTGGTCAGCAGCAGCAACAGTCACAGCAGCAGCAGCCGTCGGAAAGGCAGCCCGATATATTGAACACTCCGCGAGGTAAGTGGAGGGACAGAAGTAAACCAACAGAAGAGAGGTAATGTCCTAAAAGAAATAAGTATGAAATAATTACTTCAGACGTGGAATTGGTACAGTAATGTTGTTCCTCTGTCTCTTACCTTCAGTTACAAAGAGAAAAAGTGAGAGATATTACAAGAAAGATCCTTTATGACACGCCATTTTTTCGATGTATGCAGTAAAGTTGGAAAATTCGAAGTCGAAATGCAGTCACTGTGTTCTTTACACAATTTTATAACTTATTACATTATAATTTGCTTCATACAAATTGGAAATCATATATACAGCTGGTTTTTATGCCCATGGCAATACTGACCAAAGAGCTCCAGTTTCGTATCTCACTCTCTCCCTCCTTCTCTCTCTCTCTCTCTCTCTCTCTCTCCTATGGCGCTACATCCCAATTCGGTCCTTGGCCTCCTCCATGAAACACTTCGTTCCCCTTCCAGTTTCGTACAGCGATAAGATAAATATTATCTTAAAGAACCCATCCAGTGATATTTTTTTTTGAAAGACCAGAACACTGGTTGAATTTCAACATTCCCCATAACTATATTGCAATATATGTTGGGGATTGCCATACCGCTTTTAAAACTCTTACAGACATTAGAATATATCGCCCTAGACACAAAACTCTTTTTTATAACACGATACGTGGAACTGCTTTCAAACAACCTGTATGCCTCCTTCCGCATCTCCAATAGTTATGCAAGTTGTTCACTGTACGCGTGTAATATATTAACATAACCCATCACAAAGAGACTTGAAATCGAATTTATTAATAGGTTTACAAGTAGAGCATGCCTGTAATATCTGTCGAGGAATGCGAATAGCACAAATGTACCATGTTGCTTCTTATATCTCAGTGTTCTACAGTTCCCAAATTAGATTTGTTATCACAACGCCATATTGCAATAATTATAGTGTAATTTATGCAGAATTGTGGTTAGAGGCTCCTTAATATTATTGTATATGTCACCTCAATATACAGCCATCACAGACCTGACTTTTAACTGCTGTCAGGACGATGAGATTATTATTCTAAGTTTCGCTTAAATATAGTGACGTACGAATGTATTATTTAAGATGAAAATAATCTAAATATATCTAAGGAAATTTAAGATAGTATAAGTAAAGAAAATTACAAGAAAAACAGCACAATAAACTGTACGCATAAGTATTATATTTATATATAATTAAATTCCGCCTTTAACTCCGAGATTTCCCTTCTGAATACTCCCTCGATAGACTGAAATTACTGCAGAATTAAACATTTTATTTGCTTGTTTTATTTCGTTATAACAGTCAGCACAAAAGATTAATTAAAACAAATCGCTTTACTTTCAAGCGTCTTTTATACCTTCTGCAAAGAGAAAATTATTTCTCCAACTCTAAATAACATCAACATAATGGTACAACACATCGCTTTAATCAAATTTCATGCCTGCAGCGAGGGCACCAGGTTTGTTAAGGGATTCGATGCTGTTTGTGAAAGTTACAACAGTTATCTGAACCTGCTTGATGTATGAGCATTTCAGTATTTCTAAAGGAACATTTCAGCATAATAAAGATACAATTAAAAGGCGATAATAAGAGAATATGTTTCTGGAATCAGGAATTGCCTTTATGGATGAATATGAAGCACTTGGCTTGAGTGTGCTCCCCATTATTCCCCTAGGCACATTAACGTTGCATGATATATTCTTCTGGACGTTTTTGTTTGTTATGGTCTAGTGGCTAGAGTTCCTGGCTCAAATCCAGGGGTCTTGGGTTCGATTCCCGGCCCTACCATATTTTCTGTGAAGTAGTGGGTCTGGAACCAAGTCCACTCAGCATCGTGAGGATAACTGAGATGCTACTTGAATAGAAAGTAGCGGCTCCGGTCTAGAAAACCTAGATTAACGGCCATGGGGATCCGTTGCGCTCACCACGTGACACCCTCTATCCGCTAAAGTTGGCACTAACTTCGCTTACAAGCGGCGGTCGGTCTGTCGGAATAGTTCGCTTGCGGACTAAAACTACGGAACTGTTTTATGTTCAAGATCGCACATAATATATTGAGTCTTGACCTGCGTTCTAATAATAATCGATAGTCCCTCACTTCCCACAGTCTCACCCTCCCGTCTTGTGCTTTGGGCTACCGTCCCTTCCTTTCATAAAATCAGTTACTTATCACTTGTGAGTTAAATTTTGTTTGGGCCATGATAAATGCAACTGCCATTAACCGTCCGCTGTCGATCTGACCTGATCCTTACTGAAAATGTATTCTGATCATAAAGACTACCTTGTAGCACACTATTTCTTCAACCTACAGATGAAACAATATTAAACAAAATTCCACACCGGAATACCCTAAGCTTCATTCAGTCAGTATCTGTGGTCTTCAGGTTTAATGTTATAAATTTACTCCAACCGGATCACTCAAAACAACAACCAACTAATAAGAAACCTCTTCAATCAACCAGCAATAGAAAGAAGACTAAATAGAATGTGGCCAGAGGATCTCATTAGATAAGCACCAGAGAATCATCGAAGGATGATACCTGTTTCAATATTACATACACCCACCCCTTTTACTAATTACTCTATTTATGTATATTGAGAAAACAAAAATAAAATAAAATTCCACTCGAGGCATGGATGTCTGTGTGCGTTTTTTCTGTGTTTATGTTGTTCGGTGTGTAGGTAGCGGCCTTGTGGCGGCTAATCCCCTTTCCAAGGAGTCCTACAGACTGTGTAAAGATCAAGAAACTCAAAAGCTGCCAAAGCCCAACAAACGGCTGTAGAGTAATAATAATAATAATAATAATAATAATAATACTTACTTATGGAGCTGAGCCATTCTTGAGGAGAAGCCAAATCTGCATCTACTCAAGAATTTCCCAACATTTTATGGAACCCGAAGTTTCATTACCGTGTTCACAAATAGTCCTCCACTGGTCCCTATCCCGAGACAGATCAATCCAATCCATACCATCCCATGCTATATCTCTAAAATCCATTTTAATATTGTCGACCCACCTACGCCTTGGTCTTCCAAGTGATCTCCTTCCTTCTGGATTTCCTACCAATATCCTATATGCATCCCTCTTTTTCCTCATTCATGCTGCATGCCCTGCCCACCTAATCCTCGACTTGATCATTAATAATAATAATAATAATTTACTTGGTTATTGTAATTGTAGCAGATGAGTTTACTCATAAATCAGGTATGTGTCCCAGAGCTACGCTTTTCAAACAGAGCTTATTTTGATTTCCAGCGACGGAAGCAATGGCGACGGATGCGCCTCTACAGAGACCGGAAGTTTTGTTCCCAGTATCAAGAGACAGTCTGATGGATCCTAACAGACGCCTCTCTGGGATTCCGGCTACCTTTGTAAGTAGTTAAATATCATTTAAGCAAAAAGTTACAGTAAATAAAACTGTAACAAAGGCCGAAGCACCATTACAGATAAATTGAAAACCTGTTGCAGATTATCGTCACTGTAGTAAAGAAAGGAAAAGGTAATTTAAAACAAGTACGAAGAAATACCGCGCAGTATACGGTCCAGAATTTAGTTAGTTATTGGAGAGGGTGGGTTTCCCCATGCACTTAGACCTGTATTAGTCCTTTATGCTTCCCTCTATGATTTCTACCAGTCTCTATATCCTACCGGTACTGGAGCTTACCATCAGTCCCGCTCAGCCAGCAAGACCGGCTCTACTAGCTGAGAGGTATCTATAATGCTTCCCCCATCTACCGGAGGTATTAGAGACTGCTGTTGGGTGGGAAACGTCCGTAATTTGGCTCAGTGACCTCCTTTGGAGATATGAGGTTCTTTTACGTGCCGTAAAGCGACGACACGGGACCTACGGCTTAAAGTCCCTCCCTGAGAACTTGTTCCCTGAATTTTTCCGCCCTTAAAAAATCGACGACCTCCGCCGGGTATTTGAACCCGCGTACTACGAGTCATGAGGTGGGAACGTTACCTCTAGACGACGGAGGGCGCTTATACGGTCCAGAATTAGTAAAATTGTGAATATTAATATTAACATAATATGGAATATCAGTATATTTTAAACACAATCTTAATTAATGAATTTGAAATCTATGAACAAGTATTTTTTTACCAGTACTCATTGGAAAATTAGTTCAATTGGCGCATTTCTGCACAATTCTTTCGCGGGCCGGATGTGGCCCGCGGGCCGTAGTTTGGAGATCCTTGGTCTAGATAATGTTGGACCCTCAACATCTCACAACCACATGGGCCTTCACGGCCTGTTACAGGGATAGCTTTACTTTTTAATTTCATGAAAAGGGCTAATTCTTTGAGCGACAGGCTTAAAGTACATTTGTTGTATGATATGCAGCGCTATATTGCATTAAAATAACGCATATGCAAACCGAGAAACGAGCATTAATATAAGAAAGCAGTACGCGGTACCAAGTTCAGGACTGACTCCCGTCCAAACATATTATGAATGATTTTGGATTTGCACCAAGCGTAAACAGTATGGCCAGTCTCACTCCAGTTCATAGTTCTGTGAATAATTTACTGGCTTATTCATTCTTCTTTTCAAGCATCGGACACTTAATGTCTCCTCTCACCCACAACTAATCTTATGAAATGAATGCTTCTGGACACGCAGAGTCTCCTCGGATGTACAATCAGGCCATGCCATCACGCAACCTACAAAATCGAAGGAAAAACCTCAATGTTCGCCCGGTCTGAAACCCTGAGCGCCGTGAACCATCGCCGCTTCTTGTAATTTTGTTTCGACTTGAAGGAGATTAGGGAAAAATATTTCTCAGTAGCTGAAATTTTCTAAGGAACTAATTTTATGAATAATATCGTCTTCTGGGATGTGGCACCGTGTAGATATTTTGTTAACCGACCTTTCGGAGGAACATATCGCTTCCATCTTCAGGGTATGAGAAATCCGCGACCAACGAACCAGCTTGAGCAGGTGTCTGTAGACTGAGTCTACAGTATACAGTCTCAGTCTACAGACACCTCACGCTGGTTCATCGCTCGCGGTTTCCTTATACCCTGGTGATGGAGGGGATTCGTTCCCCCGAAACGTCGGTTAAAAAATGTCTACACTGCTTCGCTCCCAAGAAGACTGCATTATTCATAGTCACCGCAGTAAAAACCTCAAATCTTACAACTAATTTCCTTCCTGATACTACGACACAAACCCATAAGGCCTGTAATTCTGAGTGCTAATAAGGGGTGTTGTTGCTGTCTATAAGTTGCGACTGAGATGAAAATATTAACACGAAAAATGAGTATGTAAGAATCTCGAAGGAGGCGGTCGTAACTTAGATCAGCAAAATATCGCCTCAAATGTTGAGAAAATCGCAAAATTATCGTTCAAGGTACCCGATAAAAAAACAGACTTTTGAAACTGCTGGGTGTGAATATTTTCTGGTACAAGTTCTGTTGCAAGAAATTTTCTTTCGGTGCCATGTTGGTGTTCAGTTACGAGTAACTTTATTACAAGAAAAGGAAAATAGACGACTAGAACCTTTCCTGTCCAGTAAACAAGTGTAGTTCAGGACTCAGCTTAATGGGCCAGAAGTCTTTTTTTTTTCTTGGATGACTTCAGCATCCTTCCTTATATAATCTATTAATAACTGTGTAATGTACTTTCAGGAAGATTAATTTGATTATTTGCTATTACAGCAGATGTCTCCGGGACTGACATCACCAGAATATCCATCTAGCCCTGCCACGACCCCACCCCCACTACCACCCTCCAGGAGTAAACTGGCTGACAAGATTCCACTGTCTTCTAGTGCAACGAATATGTACACTTCGAACGGAACAGTGAGGAAGGACCATATCATATCCAATTCAATACCTGGGCCTGAAAGTTGTGTATGAAGAAGATATAAATGTCAGGAAATTTTCTATTTGTTGCATTTTAACAATGTTGTGACAAGAAGCCAGCATATCTGAAATGGGAACACTGTAAAGATGAATTATGGATATTTTATACCATGTCAGAGAATATTTAAATAAAAGGGCCTACTTTAGTAAATGTGTAAGATATTGAAATTTTATATTGAAAATAAATAAATAACCCGAATTTATAAAACGCTTTGTTCCCCGGACAATAGAATTAAAATACAAATAGGGGGCCAAAAGTTGTACATTACTTTGAGGAAGTAATATTTCAGAAAAAAAATGTTTTCAAATTTGAAAGGACAATGGATAAGAAAAGTAATCAGAACTAGTTGTCATGCTGTGGACATTGATGTGACCTATGTGTGTCAATTATGAGATTGTTTTGTGTAACTCAAAACTGCTACAATGATGCTATCTGTGGACAACTATACGAAGCTTAATGGTAAGTGATGATGTGAACAAATCGACGAGCGTCCAGATTAAATGTACGTTGTGTAACAATTAAGAAAATAAAATTCATAAAAATGAGCGGCTTAGTACGTATCAGTGTTTTATATCAGTGTTTCTTATAAGAAATATAACTGCCCATACTCCTTTCTGTGTCCTTATCTACTGAGCTGAAGACCTTGGAAATGTAGATATATATATATGCGTGTTATTTCTTTATTAGTATTTTATATTGATCGATGTTAAAAAAACATGTATTTGAAATGCAACAGAAACCCCCTATGAAGATATTAGCCTGCCGTTTAAAGGTAAATTATATCTAAAATTCAGTTTTGTTTCTCCGAAAACAAACTGAAATTTCATTACCAACACAAACTGCTTAGTGATGCACAGGAGAATAATCTTCGTTAATTCTGCGAATAAAACTAAACACATGAACACACTGCTTTTTATTGTTGCAGCTGTCGGTAATATTACCAACGCGCTTTAAAGAGTTGAAATAGTAACACTGGATAAACATAAAGAATAACATTTTTCATCTTATAAAATAAAGTCGAAATCTCTTTGCCTATTTTTAGACCTACACGTATTTCATGTGAGCAGGACGAATGTCACATTATTTAAACAGCTAGTTCTACAAGCCAGGATAGAGAGTTTGTTTTATTTATTTATTCATTCATTTGTTGTTGGTCTTTCTAATGACGCTCTCGTTGTCTCAGCACTATTAGCATCGTCTTTCAGGATGATAAGAGAATAATGAATTAGGAAAGATCTTGAAGGAAACTGTCATAGCCCATAGTGGAAATTACGGAAAGCCACAGAAAACTTCCTTCATGATCATCATTCACACCCCGAGGTTTGAATTGGTAAGCTCTCGGATTCAAGTCAGGAAGGATACCGCTCCAGTCAACTAGCTCAGACTGCTTGGAAAGACCAAGAAAGCCATTTCATGAAGTAAGAACAGACCCACTAAGCTGAAATTACGGATACTGATGTTGGTGTTGGTGTTCATGATCATGACGAAGATGATTATGATGTAACGGTCAAGTGAGTAAGGTGAGTAAAGACAGAGTATAACTCTTCATCAACTTATTAATAAGGGCTTAATTCTCAGTGAGTTAATGGTGGCCATATTTTCGTTAAGAATTGTTACTTCTTCTTTCTCGTCGTCACAGGTCATACAGATTCGTGCTTGTAAGATAAACTTTTGGATTCTATTAAACGAGAGGGTTTCTTGACTATCTCAGCGAATAAGTAGATCTCACTATATATATGTATCATACATACATACATACATACATACATACATACATACATACATATTCATTATTTCATCAATAATCTGCCAGGCGACAGGTCCACGGTCTCTTCCAAAACAGTTTCTCCACTTAATGCGATCTCAAGCTTTCTCCTTCAATTAAAATATCCTATTCTGTCCCCAAGATCATCCAGCATCTTCTTACGTCTTCCTCGTCTTCTGGGCACTTCTATCCACCCCTTCGGTTTGTTTTGTCTCCAGAGGAAACATCTCGCATACATGGTATCTCTGTTTTTGGAAAGAGACTATCCAGGAAAAATGATAATGTGGTAGTTTTTCCATTTGTTTTCCACATCGCAGTACAACAGCCGTTCAAACCACTCTGGTCACGCTTGTTGCTATACGAACTTGAACCATCTCGAGCATCATTTGCTCTGTGCTTCAAGTCGCTGCTGATGACGCTGCTTCCAGCATCAGTTTTTGGTGTCTCTCTTCGTCTGATGCCTACCCTTTGACCTGTCCAGCAAGGGAGGCCCTGCCAGTAGCTACGCTACCGCTGGTATAGCTCTCAGGGTCCTTGGCATACTCAAACCCCTCACCACGATAAGGTGGAGACACCAACGAGGGGGACATACATATATACATACACGATTACATACATACATATATACATACACAATTACATACATACATATATACATACATACACACATATATACATACATACATACATACATACATACATCCATACACAAACATGCACACATGCATGCATGCATACATACACGCATACATACACGCATACATACATACATACACACATACATATATACATACATACACACATACATACACATATATGCATGCATACATTACTACATATATAATACATACGTACTTACGTACATACATACATACGTACATAGTCAGTATTGAACTGAGTAAAATATTAAATTTTTATTCATGAACTTTTAAATCAGTTCGAAAATTAATGTTATTAAACAACGGAAAATTATGTAGTATCTTTTCAAAATTACAGATTCGTATATGTCTGAACATTAGGAATTAGGCCACATTAATAATTTCGGCTTAATCTTATACCTGCCTTATTTAATTTGACTCGTAACAGATACTGTAAAATTAGAGATAGGAATACGTAAACACCGAGAAAGTGGTTCCCGACAGTAAAGGGAAATCATGACTTATAGGAGGTATAAGGTAAATTAACAGGTTCCACATTGTTGCGTACATACGCAGGATGGCGGAAAAAAAGCTCTAAAATTAAATAAATTTTTATTTATATAATGATCATAGAATATATATTTCGTTCTCACAGATATAAACATAAATAAATCTGATATTATGTTTAAGAATTTATTATGAGTCAAATTAAATAAGGCAGGTAAAAGATTAAGCCCAAATGATTAAAATTCCTAATGTTCAGACACATACGAATCTGTGATTACGAAAAGTTACTACATAATTTTTGGTTGCTTACTAAAGTTCCCTTTCGAACTGATTTAAAACTTCATGAATAAATAATTAAATATTCTATTCAGTTCAATTCTGACGCCATATATCTAATGTCTGTCAAATATCAGATGATACTGCTTTCGCCTTCCTCTGTAGTGGAAAATAAAATGAATATTCATAATTCTGCATATAGAATATATAGGCACCAGAGAGAATTTAAATATATCACATCACCGTGTCTCTACATCGAAGAGCTACGAGAACATAGTTTCATTCTTCGGTATGGATGGATGGGTGGATGGATGTATGTACTTTCATCTTTCACTATTCGTTGCCAGGTAACAGCTTTCACCAGTGATTATTCATTTGCGATGTTTTCGCTTGATATTTCATGGTATCTTAACCATGGGGATTCTTCAGCTTCCGTAGTCACTCTGATCTCTATCTACCCACTGAACTGCCAGCTGCACTTCTCAGCTTCTCTTGGAGAGATGAACTTTCGACTAACTGCTCATTGGAACTCCGGAACTCAACTGACTCTGTTTATAATATTTAGGCACGAACCACATAGTAAACATCGTTTCGATTGTTATAATCCAACAATACCTCTACCGCAACATAAAACGGGCGTTTGTTTTTCTTTGCATATTGCAAAGAAACAGCTGTTGTTTACAAGGTCACCGCTTAGCAGCGAGACTATACGCCATAATATTAGATGACGTAACAATTTTAGACACAGCTGCAATAAGAAGTAAAACCTGATATCTTGAGAGAATGATTTAACCTGAGTAAAATATTATGTATTTATTTAAAAATTACATTTTCCTACGTTTTGAAAAGTATTATTTTCATAATAACTCAATAATAAGCAGTACTAAATTGTTGAACATAATTACAATTAACCTTTAAACGCCGGGCTTTTGAAATGGTGGTAAGCTTGAGCTGGCCGGAGTTTATTTAAATGACCGCTGCTGGTGCGCGTTTAAATGCACGTTGCTACTCTGCGTTTGAATGTCCGTTCCTGGTAGGGCGGTTAAACAATTTTAACCACTGTGTTTAAAAATGATGTGTCTAACACAATTTTTATGATAAATGGATGGAATTAGCTTTGTTTGTATCAGCAAAGAACATAGTGTCGCATATTACAACGAGAGATTTGAAAATTTTTATACAAGAAATTATACTCTATTTTTCCAATTTTTTCTTTTAAATTTGAAGCGTACTGCAAAATTGGTGTCCCAGTTCTTCACAGAGTTATTCTGCATTACAAATTCGTTTCGGTTTGTAACACATGACAAATTTAGCAGTCCCTGATGCCATAAAACATATGGAAGCAATAAAATCCTTTGGTTTTCTGCTGGAAAACCTTACATCTTTGTTACACTCTTCAGATTTCCGAATCTTTTGAATAAATGACTGAAGAATGAAAGCATGGCTATTCAAGATATGACTTGAGGGGTACCTTCTTCAGTGCTAAGAACTTCCGTTATAGATGCAAGAGATTATTGTCCTTCTTATGGGCGTGAGCACACAGCTGCATCGTTGCTGAGATACAGAGAGCGATCTGTTTTCTGTGCATTCGTAGTGAAATCGAATACTGTAGTTTCATTTCAGCCTATATATACATCAAAGAGATAACAAAAAAGGTATGTACATCGAATATTACTATTAATTGTAACAAATTAACCTGCAGAATCTGTAATAAAAGTACTGGCTCGTGGATGAATTTGGGCATAACTCACATGTATACTCTTTTCGTTGTTCACTTAGGTATCATTTTAATTTCTCGAATAGGGTTTCACTCAAGTCGGTCTGGTAATTACTACATTTAAAAATAAATACTTACGACTGTGCATGCGCTTCTACTAGCGGCGTGTGCACGCGAGTCCACTAGCGGAGTTTAAATGCCCGAGTGGCTAAAACGGGGTACTTTGGCCACGACGACCTTACTCATCACTGGCCCGAACGGTTCACTTCGGACGTTAAAGTTTAAAGGCCAAACAATGAAGCTTACTTCAAGACTAAGATCTGGTCATGAGCGTCCGAATGGGCTCTAAATTAAAAGAAAGTGACTGGCAAACCGTCAGTCGTAAAATGATTTTGAAACGAGGCAAGATGTGAAGAGGAATTTTGTAGAAACGAAGTGGTAGGATATGTGGAATACGAAGGCGAATATTTGCCATAATCATGGTGGGCCTTCGGTAAGGCACTGGTGTATGGTTCAGAAGTTACGTGGTTGGAATACATGACTATTTTTATGAAAGAAAAATGTAAGAAATTTATGCATGTAGGAAGCAAGTGGTACTATATGAGGAAGGTGAATGTAACAAATTTGTATAGATCTGGTGGT